TTTTTTGTGTATAATTGTTTTGTTTTGTATTTATTTTATTATTTTTTTTTTTTTTTTAATAGGGCTTTAATATTTTATAAAAAAAACCCCCCCCCCCCCCCCCCCCCCCCAATCCATCCATCCATCCATCCATCTCCCCCTTTATGCTGAGAAATTCTACTTAAGTACTGGTACTTCATATGATTTATCTTTCTTTCTTTTTTCTTCCTTTCTACGCATACTGCATATTGCATGTTATATATACACCCACCAAATATCCTCTCCCGTCCTATCCTCTCACATCAATCATCTCATCTCGCCCAATCTCATCTATCTCCTAACACCCCCCTTCTTCCCAAGCGGTTCCAGCCCGAAAATATCCTCCTCGCGAATGGCATTCCCTTCGGCGTCCGAGGGGACCTCGCCGAATAAGAAGGCCGTGCGCTCGCGACTTGCCGAAGGCTTCTTGCGGTGGTGCGGGTTGGAACTGTCTCTTCTTGATCCTGGGTTTGGAGGGCCGAACATGGAAGATGAAGAGGAGGAGGATGAGGGTTTGTTGAATGGGTTTTGTGAGGATGAGGAAGAGGATGAGATGTCGGGTTCTAACATCCATGAAAACGAAGATTGCGCGAGCGTGGAGCGCGTTGGGATTGGGGGTTGGGGCCGCTGGAGGGTTTGGACTGTGTTGGAGGGTTCGACGCCGAGGGGGTCTGTGTCCATTTTATCGGCGGAAGTTTCGGGTTTGAGTTTTGGAATTGTTGTTGCTGTGTCGTGCTGATCGAGTACTGGCGTTGTTGCCTTTGGGGTTTCGCCAACGCTGGGATTCGGCGAGTCGAGGACCATAGGCGTGTTCAACGCCATTGCAGCCACGGCGTTACTTAGCGGTTCGGAATCGACTTTTCTCTCTGCTTGTCTGGGTGAAGACGGAGCGTCTTGGTCATCGTCTGGAAGGGCTAGCGTCGAGTCCTCGAGGTATACCTTGATGAACTGAAGCCGGGCTATAGCGGCCTCAAGAGCGTCCTCGCCTGACGAGCTCACGGCCCTGAGGGAAGCTATCGGCTCGTCGAGCATCGCCGCAAGCTGTTTATTCCTCCGGTCCATGACGGCGACGGCGCGAATCGCCGTGTTCGGCCGCGGCTCGGTGAAGAGGTCCCTACTCGTCTTCATCGAGGTCTTGGCCTCGTGGACATTACGGCGGATCTCGACCATTGCGTCCCGCACGGCCTGATTGATGCCTAGTCTCTCGCCTTGCTCAAGCACGTTCTTAGCCGCGCCGAAGAAAGCTTCAACACCCCCTGGCGGTGGGCGGAAGCGTGGTGACGAGAGTGGAGATCGGGCGCCCGCGAACTTTTGTCGGAGACTTGGGGCATTCCCTCTTGGCGTTGTTGGTGGTGATGAGAGAGTTGGGGAATTCGGGGCTCGTCTAGTGTATTTTGTTATTAAAGTTGCGCCTCCAGAGGTATGTAGATGATCCTGTAAGTAGACCGCGTCGTCTATGAATGTGTGCGGCCCGTTGGGAGGATGTGGAATTGGGTATTTGAGTAAAAGTTGGAGAGCTACGCTATAGTCTGCCTCGAGCACTGCGACGCATTAGTACATCGTAGTTCATTTGTACTTGGTTCAAGAATTGTGCGTCTTACAATCCCACCTTATCCTCAATAACATGGAGGTGCAAATAAGGTCTATAAGTTTAAAAGTTGGATCTATGGAAAATAGGTTGTCCCACAGGACGAGCATCTGATCAAACGGGAATTCGCGACTGAATAGAAGCCGGATCCAGCGACTAATTCAGGTAAGATCAGTATTATTATGGAAGAGGCGTTTGTGGGAAGGGCGTACATGAGAAAAACCTGCGGTAGAACCTCGATGTTCTTAAGATGAGCTGATAATTCCGGGTCGACTTTGTGTAGGCAGACCTCGTGTATATACTGACTCTTTTCAACAATTGAAGATTTTGTCGACTGCATGCCAAAAGCGGCATTCCCGGCGTTATCTGCAGACTCGCCGGTTTCGTAGAACGCCTTTGCGCAGTCCATGACCTTTGAGAATAGAGCAAAAGAGTCGTGTTCAATGAACGAAGCATCCAACATCTCCACCATAGTCAAATCACCAGCAGCACCAGACAAGGCGTCTGCGGGATCAATCGCATCTTGCTCGACGACGTAGACTATTGGCGCCAGAAGCTCATGCATACCCTGGCGGTAACCCCCGACATCAGGGTTGAGTTTGCAGTAGATGAAGAGAACATCCGTGATGAGTGTCTGGATGTGTGGCTGGTGGTAGAACGGCTCATCGGGTAAGCGTTGGACATCTTGAAGGATCTCGGCACGCGAGATCTCGTCCTGACGATATGTGTTCCAGGGCGACTATTACGGGTTAATTATACAGTCCATTGAAGAATGATGACGACGATAGGGCAATTCAGAGAGGGGGCTGACATTTGCATCATCCGCCAGCGGATCCGAGTTTCCTGCGTTGAGATATTCCGGATGTTTGCAGTATTTCAAGAAATGTTCTCTCAGAGAAGTATAAGAACTACGTGACTCGAGGAGCGCATGAGTCCAGTTGCTATCAGTGAGCGTCGTCTGGTTCAGCAAAAAGGCCTGCACGGTCTGTCAACACGCCCGGTCCTTCATAGGGGGGGCTTGCAGGCGGACGACGAACCTTCCAACAGACAGACCTGCATCCCACTATACACGGACTATCGGACGCATTGTGTTTCACGGCTCTCTGCAGATCTGCTAAACTGGAGCTGTGCTTGAGAGTCTCTTGCCATCGTGCACTGGAGACATGTCAAAACAGATCAGCTCATGTTTGATAGATTGCAAGGTCATGATATGTTGAGGTGAAACATGTGCGAATAGCTACAAATGCTTACGAGGCATCGGTCAGAGATCTCATCCTGCAATCGTCGGTTTGACTCCCTAAACTGCTAACGATTATATCCTTGCCGTATGATGAGGGCGGGCGCTGCTGCTCATCACGCTCTTCTGTCTCAGCAACGCACTGATCGGGTTGATATGTTTGGATGTTCTTGGCTCTCCTTACACATTGCTGCTCTCACTCGGGGTTCTTATGAAGACAGGACGAGACAGACGGCGTGAGGGTGAGAGTGATGAATTGTCACCACTAAAATCACCGAGATCAGGGCCTCTGGTCTCACGGCCCCGCAATGTCGGCCGCACCTTGTTGCTTTCATAATATATACCATGTTAGGTTTAGTTTGTTTGTGTATATGTACTTATATCTAAGGATGTGATAATTTAGAGGTTAATTCCCTCTGAACACTTTTCAGGACTCTATGACGATCACCATAACCCAAGCCTTGCATGGTGAAGCAGGACTGAATTCCATCCCCCCAACCAGCTTATATATTACATATGGCGTCGTCTCGACCATGCGAAAGCATTGATCTGGTTTATATGAAATCCGTGTCTGGGAGGGATTATGGTAGATAGTACCTAGTCAGGATCCTTGTAAATCAAGTGGCCCCCTGTTCAGCCCCAAAGTAACAGATTAGGCCCAGGACTTACTTACTTAGATAAATAGCCGCCTTCAGCTTAGAGGTAAATCTTCTGGTACGTCATCTCTACAACATTCTGTCATTGCGGTTGCTCAATCCCATGCTGCAATTGCAAGAGAAGCCTTCAATATAGACTTTCCCCCAGATAGACCCAATACACAATTTTGGCATGCATTTTCTGACAAGCTTCCGTGGCCATTGACCATGTCTGCAGACCTCTTTGCTGCTTTCGACGACTTCTCACAACCCCCTCCACAACAATCCCAATCGAAACCTCCCCAAGCTCAACCCCCGTCCGCGCCGCTTTCCTTCGCGTCGCCTCTGAACCCAACCATCGCCAGATCCAGCGGCCATCAATCGAGCCAGTCATTCTCGGCTTCGAGCCAGTTCCAGCATGACTGGTTGTCGCCCCAGCCTTCGCCGGCCTTCAATACCCGGCCCGCATCTATAGCCACTAGTTCTTTTGCGAACAATCGGTTGATACATAATGACAATACCGAAGATGATGATGATGGATGGGGGGATTTTGAAGTTGCGCCAAATACGGCTCCCTCACCTAAGCCCTCACAATTGGCTTCCGCATCGCCAAACCCAACCGCCATGAAACCACCAACTCCAGCGCCACCAACCGCCGGTGTTCGGCCGCAGCGAGCAAGAGTCGTGAGAGCCTCAACCCTAGATATGTTTTCAAACAACCTCACTGCTTATGATGAAAGCTCAGCATTGCCTAGCCCACAAACGGAGCTACCAAAGTCTAAACTGCACAAAATGACTACCGCCAATGCCGACCCTAATGTGTTATTCGACGCCGACGATTTTGATGGAGAACAAGACATCGAGGCAAGTGACGATGAAGAAGATGATTTTGGAGAGTTTGAAACAGTGGCACCACAGCTCTCTCCGGATCTTCTGCCAAGCGTACCTTCATCGAAAATAGAGACGGTTAAAAAGGCTTCCGAGTTATTGTTAGACTTAGACATAAATGAGCCAACCCCTGATCCTGTACCAGCAACGCAAGTAAACGTCGGTCACGCATATTCTAAAAGCCAAAACGACGGGTTAGGTAAAGTGAAGTCATTTGGGAAAACGGTGCAACCTCAGAAAACACAATCCCGACCCAAGCCTCGAGCATTCGAAGATGATTGGGATTCCTTCTCTGATCTACCGAAGCAGCCGGCGCAGTCGCCACCCAAAAAGATAGTTGAGTCTTCTTGGGACTGGGACTCGGTAGAGCCTCCTGCAACCACCAAACCTAAGAACCTTGCAACAAAAAACCATTTGCCGCCGACCAATGCAGTTCCCGCAAATGAGGATGCATCGTGGGACTGGGACCCAGTTTCGGTCGATACTCAGGCTGAACCTCCCGCCGAGACTGAAGATGGAGCCCTACCCCCGGTCAACATCCCACCACCATCGATTCTGCTGTCGGCTTTTCCACAATTATTCGAGCAAGCTAACGAATATCTGTATAAGCCCGTCAGCGGACAGTCCCAAAGCATCAAAGAGCGCGTCTTATCGGATCCCAAGGTATACGACTTTCTAAAAGGATATCTACTCCTCGCCATCGTGGCAGCCCGCATCATCGCAGGTCGAAAGATGCGATGGCACAGAGACAAGTTCCTCTCCCAGAGCATGTCTATCTCCGCAGCCGGGAGCAAGGGGATGAAGCTCGCCGGCGTGAACAAGTCCGAGACGACACAGGAAGACCGCGAGGCGGCCGATGTCGTAAGCAATTGGAAGAGTCAAGTTGGCCGTCTACGGTCCGCCGTGGCATCTGCGAATAAGGGCACTGGAGCACAGCTGAAGATTCCTGAAATCAGCGACAATATGCAAGTTCAAACTGCCAAGGATGTCCCGACGGCGCCGAAAGCATGTGTTATATGCGGTCTCAAGAGGAATGAGAGACTACCCAAGGTCGATCATGAGGTAGAGGATAGTTTTGGCGAGTGGTGGCTTGAGCATTGGGGTCATGTTGATTGTAAGCGTTTCTGGCAACAGCATGAGAATGCCCTCAGACAGAGATGAGTGGGCCGGGCCGTGGGATAAACTGGCACTGGCACCCGATACAGCGACCCGTTTGAGTGATCGGTGACACATGATCTCGTGACTCTGTTGTTGTCAACCATGGTTCAGTAGCAACTCGCTCAACAACGCAGTAACAGAGAGTATATTTCATCTCGTCAAGATATAACGGACACTACATCCATGCCCTTCCAAGAGTACATGTCAAAAATCTCATTACGCGAAGCGTCTTCTGCAATAAAACCAACCAGGTACTTGCCAAGGTGCGATTTACGGTCCATAGACTTAATCCCAATCGACCAAACAACCAATGATGTTAAAAGGTCTCTAGCTTTTGCTGTTATTGGACAGAAAATCGCGTGTATATATGCAAAACTGCGGGCCTGCTTACTTCTAGAGCAATGGGTCATGCATGAGTTGGGTGTAAGAACGATTCACATACATGTACATATGAATACACGATGGTGTGCCTCGGTCTATTCGTCTTGGGCAAACCGGATTGCACATGAGTTCGAACTGTAAGCAATTAATCTAGCCACATATATTTATTCGCTTTATGTATCTGGATTGGGTATTACTTTGCATGTCTAAGTGTCTTACTTATGTATGTCCGGTAGGGGTTTGATTAATATTTAAAATCATCAGAGGCGCGACAATCATATTGACAACCATGATATTTTCACTTGAAGCCCTGTCTTACAATGTACACCTCAAAGCAACGACAATCCGACAAACGGATACTCCAACATCAGACGTGACCGAGACGGCCTGCGCGTTGCGGCGACCCACCCCGAAGCAACCAACCCGGTCCAGACCCATCCCAGCAGCGACAACTGCGCAGAGCAAATCGCAGACCCCCCGGTGGACACCCACGCACCCCGCGGGATGACATGCAGCGACCCCAAGATATGTAGCTGCAAGCTTCTCATCACAGAATCCGCGGCGGGTGATCACGGTGGTTACGCGCAGGCTGGGGAAAGACAATCCTGTTACTGGGATGTGAATGAATGAAGGCCTCATATAATCTTGTATTCCGTATCTTCTGAAGTACCTAGGTGATTGGTAGCTCTGGGGTTAGATTACCTTATATAATCCTTTTTATGGCGTGATGCAGGGTATTTTCAGCACCTGCCTGTGCGACACGTGATAGTTGCGTGAGGACCACTTCGAATCCTACCGTGCTCGATAGGGAGGGAAGCATTATGCTGTGGCAATACCATGGTGAGTGGTTGATTGAGTGAGAGTGAGAGTGCGTGCACTGATCTATCGCGAACATGGACGCGCGACGACAGGTGCCCCGCGAACTGTCGGAGACGAAACCTAAGGAAAGCCATCCTGCCAGAACCGTTGAGCTACTGGGGAAGCTACCATAAATAGGTAGGTACCTACCTAAGTAAGCACTTAAGTTAGGCGAAGACACGGTTGAACAAAATGGAGATATCTTTAGCAACAGCCACTTACTTGCTGATGGCGCGCCATTACATGCAGTGGAATGAGAGAATCGATTTCCCAGACAACATATGCCGGGTAACTATGTCGCAAAACAGGTATCGCTGTTACCTACCAGACCGTACTCTAAGGGAAATTAGACGAGACTGTGACGGTTCGGACGAATTGAATTGCTCGGTAGACTCCGGTGCTGTGCATCGAAGCACAGCCATGAGACTTTATATACGGGTATCTCGTCGGAAAGCTACGGGAAAGCAATAATATGGTAAGTAGGTAAGCAGGTAGGCAAGTCTAACCTGGGCTACACATGTGTCACATCACGAGGTAACCGGAGTGACGCCCTCTTGTCTCGGACCAGAAGATTGCACTTATATACTTCAAGGTCATGTACTGAGGACTGTAGAGATAACTGAGGTTATGTACGTAACCTCTTCGGCCTGGAGGGTGCGCCATGGTGTCATAGGAGAGGCCACGCATAGGTACCCAAGCTTGTAGATATGGTCGATAATGCTGTCTTAGCCATCTATATTATCTGTTACTTGCCTTACCGAGACCGGGAGGGAAGGTGAATCTATACCGCGCTCGGACACTAGACACCTGAGGCATCTTAGGTTAGAATATAGGTATTCCTGAAGTGCTACGGTCCGCTGTCTGTATGCTAGACTCACAAGGAAGAGATGTAAGTATCTATATAAACTCCTATTATCTAAAACTTAATAAAAGGAGGGAAACAGGTTGAGTTAGGCTCTGCTACTTGCCGATCACTATGCAGTGTAGTGTATGTATATGTATAATCCCATTTACTTGGTGTAGTATCTATCCATCTCAGCAGATACCCACTATTTGAAAGCGTCTAGTAAACTTGATATCTTAAGTGTTACTGCTTGCTAAACTTTGAACATCTCCCACCTAGTTGACGCCATTTTGAGACACGCTCTTCTGTCCCGAATTACAGCATGTAGTACGTCACTGCTATATGAAATACATACATGTGCCTCTGAAGATCGCCCGGGGCGTCCATCCCTTTTGCTTCCTAAACGAAGTTCCAATCACGTCTTCCCTTGTCTCCACCCATGCAGGTTGCTTTTACAAGTTGGATGTACCTTCCGTGCTCTCTCACATACCAGCAGGTACATGGGAGGCCAGCCCACCTTGACGCGGCTACCTGTAGGTGCATGTATTTGCACTATCTGTGACTTCCCTCGCGCAGACTCGCGCAGCAAATCGCCGCAGGGATCTCTCTCTCTCTACTCTAGACCTACCGCATACATTCGAAAAACTCGAACAACACTAGTAACGCCACTGCAGGGATGCTCTCGCTAGGTTATCCATATTAGGCAAGCAACTTTGTTAGTGAACGCCACTAAAAGTTGCTCCTATTAGATGTTAGTTGGGCTTTATACCCTTTTGTAAGTTATAGAAAAGTTGATAAGTGGTAGAATTGTAGAAATAACGCTATTTTTGCTGTTTTTGCTATTTCTGTTGTTTTTTTTATTTTTTTTATTTTCGTTGTATTATAGCTAGTTCTTTAATAGCGTTAAGAAAACGCTATTTTTACTATATTATAGCCAGTTCTTTAATAATATTAAAAAAATGTTAAAAACGTTATTTTTAATCGCTTTTATAATAATTAATTTTCGATTAGCCCATTTAGCCTTTAATTTAACCAGTATAACCCTATTAATCCCTTTATTTAAATAGCTTAGCTTTAAGCAGAAGGGCTTGGTACGGGTTAACTATTACCTATTAAAGCTATTAATATAGTTTTAAAGGCATTATTTTTAATAAAGGAAGGTTAATATATTACTATTTTTAAAAAACTATTAAATTTTATTAAAAACTAACGAAGTTGGTAAGTAAGAATAGCGTTATCGTAGCCTTTTAAGTAATAGTAAAGTTAAAGAAGGCTTTTAGAAACCTACGTTTAAAGAAATAGTTTATTATTTTAAGCTAAGTAGTAGATTATTCGTTTTAAGGTGGTGGAGGTAGCGAGAGTTAATTTTAAACGGGAAAAAATAACACTTTTAATTTTATTAGCCGGTGTCACGATTGGAGTGTCACGTACGAGGCAAAGCTCATATTGGGGTACCATCTGTATATTTATTGTGAGATGGAGAACGGAGGAAATATTCTAAGTACAAAAAGTATAGCAAAGTATTTTAGTGCGCACAGCGAAGCGATGGTCACGTGGTGATTGCGATACGCGTGGCAGTGTGGCCATCTGGGCCCTAAGCCCCAGGTGGGTCACCAGGCCAGCCACCGTAACTGCCGGTATTGGAGTTAAAGTTATAAGAAGCATTTTATATAATTAGGAAAGTAAAGAAGTTAATTAATATTTATTAGTTTAATTAGAAAACTATTATAATCTTTAATAGCTATTACTTAACTTACCTAATAGTTTTTACCTTTTTAAATAAGTAATTTTATAGCTTTCTTTAATACTATTAAATTAACTATTAATGGATAACTTATACTTTAATTCAAATGTTTATAAAGATAGTTAAATATATAAATAACTTCCTATAATTTATTAAAAGGGTTTTATAAAATAATTAAACCTAGAAAAGTGTAGCGTTAATAAATAATTCTATTAAAGGGCTTTTTTTTAATAAATTTCCCTATTATTAATTTAAATAAAATTCCAATACTATTTGAATTTTTAATAGGTTATATATATAATTATAAAAGTAATATATCCATTAATAAAAAGTTAAATAAAAATAGTTAAGGAAAATAGCAAGTAATATTAATATTAACAATTATTATAAATGGGAAATACATTAAAAAGTTAAAACTAATTATTATTTTTTATAATAAGGGCTTTAAAATAAATAGGGAAAAGCTATTATATTATAAGGGTATTAATATATTATTTAATAAAAAGGTATATAATAATAGTAATTTATTTAAAAATTAAATTAATAATAATTTAATTGCTTATATTAAAGGAAAGCTTAATTTATTAATTATTAATATAGCTGCCTTTTATAAAATGGATAAGGTTAAGGTAGCTCTTTATAGGGCTAACGTTATTGTTATAATAATCCTGCTAAATTTTATAGCTTATTTATAGCCTTTAAATATTAGTTTTAATAGTCCCTTTAAAATTTAGCTTTAAAAGGAAATAAATTTATATATAAATAAGTTAAAAAAAGAAGGGAAATTGCTTAAAAAGTAAACAATTAATAAAAGATAAATAATAATTACTTACATTATTATAAATATATAAAAATAAACTTTTACTTCGTTTAATTATAAAATAATAATAGGACTTTTTATAAATATTAATATTTTAATTTATTTAAATAGTTATAATAATTTTAAAATTAATATTAAAGGTATTAATTTTAATTAATTAGCTTTTAATAATTATTATTAATATTTAAATTAAAAGGTTAAAATAAAGCTTAAAAAGATTAATAAAACAGTTAATAATTTAGATTATAAATATATAAATATTAAAGAAGAAGAAATAGCTTAATTAAAAAATGGCTATAAATAATTTAAAGTAATAGAATTAAAGGAAAAATGCTATTCTTAAGGCTTACCTAATGGTAAAATAAAGGTAAAGCTAATTAAATAGTTAAAAGATACAAATCGTATATAAAACGTATTAAAATAGTATCTTTAAAAATAAACTTTACTTTTACTTTATTATATAAATATAAAAAAAATCGAAGTTAATTTTATAAAGATAAATATAAAAGCGTTATTTTTAATAATTATATAATATAAAATAATAATAAAAGCTATTTAATATTTATATAATATTTATTTTATAATAAATATATTAAAAAATATATTAGATTATATTTTTTTATATAATAGCTATTTATACCTTAATGTTATAATATAAAGGTTATTAATATTAAGCTTTTAAAAAGATTAACTATTATATAGATTTTTACCCTTTAGATTTTTTTTAACTTATTTAAATATATATATTATACTTTATATAGAAATTATTATTAAAATAAAAGTATTATTACTTCTATTTTAATTATTTAATTTAAATATAAAAAATATATATTAATTAACTTGCTTTATCTTAAAACGTTAAAAATAACCCTTTTTATAATTATTATAAACCTTTACCTCCTACTTTTTTATTTTTTTATTAACCTTAACTTTAATCTTTTACTTTAACTATATATTTAAATTCTTTATAAAGTTTATTATTAAGGTAACTTTAAAACTATTTATACCGTTATTAATTATAGCATTTAAGGGGTTTTATAGCCTATAAAAAGACCGGTAAGGTAAGCTTTAAGCTGTAAAGCGTAATTTACCTATATAGAATTAAAGATTAATTAAAGTAAACATTATTAATATAGTTTTAAGCTTTAATTATATAATCTATTATTAATTAAAGTTATACCTTATATTAATAATGCTTTTATAATTATTATAGTAGTTTATTATTATATATTAAAAATAGCTATTATAGTATTAATTATAGCGTAATTAATAAGGGCTACAATAAGGCTAGCGGAGTTTAAAGATATAGGTTTTATTAAATATAAAGATTAACCCTAAGGGGTTAAAGGATAAGTTAATTAAAGTTACTTAATTAGCCCTAATAATAAGGTAAAATTAGAAGTAACTTATAAGTTATCTTTATTGGTGCTTTAAAGGCAAGCATTTTTAATAATAAATTTAAAGCGTTTAAGTGGTGGTAAGGGTAGATAAAAGTGGGTGGTATAAGTGTTATAATAATAGAAGTAAAGTTAATATAAAAAAGATTAGGTTAGATTAAAGTTCTACTTATATTAAGTTAAAAAAAGTAATTATTACACCTAAAAGGGGATTAAGATAACTTTAGTTTGGTTAGATTTAAATAGGCCCAATATAGTAGTTGTTCCACTTGTATATATGGTAGCGCTACTAGTGTTGTTCGAGTTTTTTGAGTGTATGCGGTACAGATGATGTACGAGATACCTACCTGTGTATATGTATCAGCTACTTGCATCTGGGCAGTGTCGACAGAGTTCTTGGACAGTTTGAGCTTCGTATGTAAAGGTTATGTGGACAGAGATAGTATGGTACCTGCCTAGGTACCTATATGTAGGTAGGTAAGTAACATGCCGTACCGAAGGATACCCAAGCAGCAATTACGAAGGGGGATTGTTACCAGTGGCCAGCGACTTCTTTGCAGTGAAGCTATGTACATATATGTAGGTAGCGACGACTGCCTTTGTCTGCTCATGTACCTAGATACATGGGTATCTGGTAACTAAACGCCCAAGCGCCATTGCATGCGTACAGTACATGGTGGTATTCCAATTGGCAAATCAATTACTGACGTCCGTCCCGGCTTTGGAGCTTGGCCTCGACACCCCAACCTACAGGCCGGAGTACAGGCCTAGGTAGCTCTAACCGTGGTCTGGGTACATCCAAAGTACCTTATTCGGGCGTGTAACTACATATGTACCTCTCTACATACCTACCAAAGCATATAGGTATAGGTAGGCAGGAGGTATCTGATATGTATATATGTATGCAGGTAGAAAGTACATCCCTAGTACTGTCCCCGCCTTCTTTTTCCTCTCAAACGATACCCCCCAATATCTATCCAAAGAGGACCCCCCCCCCCCCCCCCCCTCCCCCAAAACACCCACTGCCTTACTTACATAACTTCATTCATCACCGATTCCACCACAAGACACATGCTTGCCCGTCTCAACACTGAATCCTCAACCACACGCAACTTTCCACCTCCCACCTCTCCTCACTCACCTCTTTCGCCTCTCTTCCTCCACTCTCTCTCATCCTCCCCCTCCGCCTCCACCTCAACCTCACTCACCTCTACCACCTCTACCACCTCCATCACCTCCATCACCTCCATCGCCTCCATCTCCCCGTACATCGACTTCGCCCTCCTAACCATCGCGTCCCTCTTCTCCCCATCCTCCGATCTCACAATCCCACAATCCGCACCCCTCCACCCTTCCACCCTCTTCCCGCAACGCTTTCAACCCCCGGCCACGGCAACGCCAGCCTAAGCGCGAGACTCTTGCCATTCCCGACAAAGTGGGCTAGCTCCTACCTTCGTCATCTAGGTACTTACTTGTTACTTACTTGTTCGCTTGGACAAAGAGAGCCTCCACAACACCTGTCGTCGTCTCCCCGTTGCAGTTGTGAGTAGCAACGTATATACCAACGTAAGTGCTTGCTCGCTTTCTTTGATTTCTGGAACTCTATTTTTTTCGTATGTACCAAGAAAATACCCAAGAAACCCAAATCCCCCCTCTCCGTCTGTATCGATCATCCCCCGTACCCGTCCCCTCTCATCAACGTCAAAAGATAGCCCACCAGGCCGGCCAAGACCAACCCATGGGGCCTATGCCAAGCATCATTCGGGTCTAGGTCATATTTTGTCTACTTAGTTACATAGCACTATCTGCACCTATTCCTCACTTGTCCGCTTGAGGCCCCAAACGAAACAAAACCGTCGCGTTTCAACAGTGGGCATTTCTACAACCCCGCAGCTACTGACGTTAAGCAGCATCAACAACCAGCTTTGCGCACACCAAAATCCAATCGCTGCGATTCATAAAATATCCACAATCTGTGTACCTGGATTGAGGCATACACAACCACGGTAACGCGACGCATCTATCTCCACGAGGTAACCTGGAAAATCAAGTAAAGGTTTGCAGAACCCCGCCAGCCCCCAACCCATGCCTCTTCTCCTTGCCAGCCGTGACCTTCTCACGCGCCGTCTGTATTTTCCGGGCCACATACCTACCTTAGTTATGCCCATGCAGCATATCGCCCAGGTGATAAGATCTGGCGCTAATCTCATTCCACATCTATTCCGCTGCCTTTCGCTTTTGTGTCAAGTGGCGTCTACTACCCCACTGACAGCTTTTCCCATATCTCTGTATCCAAAATCAAACTTTCCTAGCTGTTAAACTCGATTCTTACAGTACTTACCTCATCTCACATAAAGACCATAACCGACTTCCCCGCAAAATCCACATCAGCTTATCAGAGCTAACCTCCCACCAGTCACACAAGCTACCTGCCTTGGGGTCCTATCTGTAAGCCTAGTCGCATACCACTCAAACAACATTCGCCGACCGCACTCGTGTGCATCAATCTCTGCAAGCGTACAACGGTCCATTCGCCTATATCTTCAACAGTTCAATCGAAACCCTAGAAATCAATTAGCCGATTTCCTTGCCGCCAAATACATCATCTGACGCTCACTCCTCACCACTCAATATCATGTCTGCTCAAGAAGTTACTCCGCCAAATGGTGCCGACACGGTTCCTATGGATTATAAGCTTGACGCCGACGAGGGTCGATTGGGCCCGGAGGGCGAGCCCGCCCCTAAGACGGACGAGGAATACGCTGCAACCCAATTGACGCTTCGTGCCATTGTCTCATCTAAAGAAGCTGGCATCATCATCGGTAAAGGTGGTAAAAACGTCGCTGATCTCCGTGACGACACAGGTGTCAAGGCTGGCGTAAGCAAGGTAGTTCAGGGTGTCCACGACCGGGTTTTGACTATTACTGGCGGTTGCGACTCTGTCTCCAGAGCATATGCTTTAGTAGCTCGTTCTCTGCTGGAAGGAGCTCCGGCTATGGGAATGGGAGGTGTTATTCAGTCAAATGGAGGAACTCATCGTAAGTTTCGTGTATTCCATTCGTGGATCGACGAAGATTAACATAATCTTAGAGTTGAAAATGCTTATTTCCCATAACCAAATGGGAACCATTATCGGTCGGGGCGGCCTCAAGATCAAGCACATCCAAGACGTGTCGGGTGTGCGTATGGTCGCGCAAAAGGATATGCTTCCTCAATCCACTGAGCGCATTGTTGAACTAACGGGCAATCCCGACGGCATCCAACGAGCCATTTGGGAAATCTCTAAATGCTTAGTCGACGACTGGCAGCGTGGTACCGGTACCGTACTCTACAACCCAAGTGTCCGCACAACTCCAGGTGGTGCGGGGTCTATAGGTGGTGTTGGCGGTACTGGCGGATCGCCGTATGGTACATCCAGCAGAGGCGATTACGGTTCACCACGCGTAATGCGCACGGGAAATGGCGCCGACTTCAGCAATGGGGCTTCACGTCCGTTCAACAATCGCCGCTCGGATTCTGACGCAGCCACCCGTGGCCCTCCTACTCACGATGAGAATGGAGAAGAAATACAAACACAGAACATTAGTATTCCGGCGGACATGGTTGGCTGCATCATCGGCCGGGGTGGCCAGAAAATTAGCGAAATTCGCAAGGCCTCCGGTGCTCGCATTTCAATTGCCAAGGTACGTCATATTTTGTCAAATTATTGATGCTTGATTTGGCTTAGGGACTAAACGGAGAACAGGCGCCACATGATGAGACAGGCGAGCGAATGTTCACCATCATGGGAACAGCCAAGGCTAATGAGAGTGCTCTCTTTTTGCTGTACGAGAACCTCGAGGCTGAAAAAATGCGACGCAGCCAGGTGCAGTCGCCCGAGTAATTGGCGGTATTTGCTTTCACTAGGATTGGACGGCGTCCGTACTGAAACAGAACGTTCATACATTTGTCTAGGACATCTTTAGTGTGGGGTTCGGTTTGGTGACATGCCCTGCGTTAGGGGGAGACTTCCAGATCTGACTTGCCGCAAGGCTCCTGCTCCAGGTGAGATATCCACGAAACGACTTTACGATAAATTTTCCTCCTCTTCAGCCTCCGAAAAAATAAAAACACAAACGATCCAACTCATCTTCTTATTATCCGCTTTCTTAATCGTGCCCTCGGTCCAGCCAATACGACGTGGGCAGTCTGGCAATCAAACATCGGCTTGTACAGGCTCATAATCCAGATTCTACCGACTACAAACAATCCTTATCACCACAATGAATCCGTATACTGCCAAGGCGAGAGGCAAATTGCGACCCATCAGTTGTCAGATATAGTACGGGGACTTGTGCACATCTGTTGATGGTAATCTAACCATCCTACGCATGTTTAGTGCATGTTTTCAGAGGTGTCCTAGATCACATCCCGTATCTTGTGGTTCCCCTGGGCGATTTGGTATGAGGGGTATCGGTAACGCTTCACTTTGTTCCGACCATTAAGCAAGGCCAAACCCCCCATATTCCGCCTTGCGGAATTTCCCGTGTGTGACCCCTGCATCGAGATTGAAGGCTTCTACTACCTAAGTATGCATGAGGCAGTGGGTCACGCAGATGATTCGTAACATATCATGCTGACTTGGGCGACACCGTCCGACTTGATACCTGCGACGCATCCCAGCCCACCCCTTTCCTTACATTCTTATGGAAAACCTAGGGAACGTACCATTATATGCCGAGAGCCGACAGGACATGTTCTTTCTCGCTCTGCCATCATCTTGGCGCAGTATGTGTCGACCTAACTTTGGCCCCCATGGATGGAATGAATGCAATGTTACAAGATGGGCTTTGATCTCTGGTACTCGACAGTGGTGGCCTCGGTGTCGCAAGGATTCTTCGGCGGGGCACGAACCTAGGTTGGGCCAATCATAATAGAATCACTTCATAATCTCCAGTGCGGCATGCACGTCTACTGATGATGTGTGAGCCGCTGCGTCTGGGCAATGTGCAACGAGAAGTTATCATATAATAATGCCTCTGTGGAAGTGACATTTGTGAATTGTTGTTATGACGACTAGTACACCATCTGTAACATGCAGGTCGCCTTGACAGCCTCTCAGGTTGTGTGATTTGAATATTCAAGCTATCTAGCTAACGATCTAATTTAATGTACGTAGGTTGTGGTCGCAGATTTCCATCAGGCTTGGCACTATAAGCCAATACTAACGGTGATGGATATTTTGGACCCCAACCTCCGTACATAGTAGTGAAGAAGTAGGTAAGTACTACCTAATTATAGGTACACTTTCGGCAGAAGCCCCCCCGCTAGAAGCAAGCGCCTAGCGTGGGAGTGTACCTATCGCTAGCTCCAGGGGACCATTCTTACCGCCTACCCGCTTGAGTTAAAGTTTTGCCCTATTTGGCCAAGTGAGCACTTCATCCGATGATTCTGCCAATCCTCGAAGGGCCATCTGTCATCAGTCATACTGGACATCCACTTCATGTGCTGTTGGTTTCATTTGGTCGCGGCCGATTGTCGACTTTGTTTCCTACTTTTCTACCGCACCACCCAACGCTTCCCTTTCACCACACCACTCCCAACTTTGGTATTTGGTTTCATGTCGAAGCACTCATAGCTAGACTGTATTATCAGCGTCTCGTATCCCACATCATCCCGCGCCTCTCTTACCTGTGTCTCTTCCCCGAGCCATGGCGCGTACCAAACAAGCCCGGCCCGTAGAGCGCCAGGCTTCGTCAGAATACATATCACGACAATCTCCCACAGCATCGTCGAAAAAGCAACATGACGATGGTCCCCGTCCTTCATCCAATGGGGCAGTCCATAAATCTGCGCCTGCGCCGATAGCTGCGAAATCAGAGGCCGGGGCGACGCAGCTCGTCATCGCCGTTGCTGGTATATACGGGTCCTTGTACGTTGCATTCTTCCATCTTAGTCTAGATATAGCACCATACAAGAACAGAAAAGACGCGCGAGTCGCAATGATCGGCGGCGCAGTTAGCTAACACGGTAATTGAATGCGACTTTAGCCTCACATGGGCCTATCTCCAAGAGAAACTCACAACGACACCGCACGGCGCGCCAGGGCAAACCGAAGTATTCAAATACCCCGTGTTCCTCAACACAATCCAATCTCTCTTCGCGGCCGCGACGGGCGCCGTATACCTCTACTTCAGCACGCCAAAGGGGGCTTCCGTGCCCCCCATCATCCCGTCCTCGCGAATACTACCACCGCTCCTCCTCGTGGCGTTAACGAGCTCGCTCGCGTCCCCATTCGGATACGCCTCGCTGTCCCACATCGACTACATCACCTTCCTGCTCGCGAAAAGCTGCAAATTGCTCCCCGTGATGTTCCTGCACATCACCGTCTTCCGCAAACGATACCCGCTGTACAAGTACATGGTCGTCGCGGCCGTCACGGCGGGCGTGGCGGTATTTACTCTGCATTCTGGTAAAAAAGGGAAAAGTCACGGTTCCGGTTCTAGTAAAGAAGAGAAGAATAGCGCTTGGGGCCTATTACTATTGGGCATCAATCTCCTCTTCGACGGCCTGACGAATTCCACCCAGGATTACATCTTCACCTCGTTCCAGCCGTACACGGGGCCGCAGATGATGTGCGCGAATAACCTCATGTCCATGCTCGTCATGGTCGCGTACCTCGTCCTGAGCCCCTGGCTCGTCCACACGGGCGTCGGCGAGTGGCTTGGCATGGACATCGCCGGGAGCGCGGGCGAGCTCGAGGACGCGCTTGCGTTCATGGCCAGACATCCCGGCGTGTGGTCTGATATTCTGGGTTTCGCGGCCTGTGGTGCTGTGGGACAGGTATTCATCTGTTAGTTTTGCCTTCCCTCCTTCCCTCCCTCTCTCTACCTCTCCGTAACAACTACCTACCTCACTTCCACATCACATCCGCTCTCACAAACTTAACTAAGTAAATACTAACCCCACGGACACAGTCTACACCCTCTCCACATTCTCCTCCGTCCTCCTCGTGACAGTAACAGTCACCCGCAAGATGTTCACCATGATCCTCTCCGTCGTCGCCTTCGGCCACCGCCTCACGCGCATGCAGGTCCTCGGCGTGGGCCTCGTCTTCGGCGGCATCGGCGCCGAGGCCGCTATCGCGCGCCGCGAGAAATTGGCCAAGGAAGAGGCTAGGAAGAAGGCGAAGGCGTTGACTGCCAAGGCGCTGTGAGATTGCTTGTTGCTTTTTTATAGATGGATGGATGGGCTGATAGATAGGGACGTTAGTTAACGTATCATATTGTAGAAAAGGAATAGATAGTTAAATAAGTTTATTTGTCGTTCTAGAGCATGAGAGAGATATATAATTATCTTATCCCGGTTATATATACAGTATGGCTTATCTGAGAACGTAAGAAGAAAATAAAATAACCACGGAACAAGAGGTTATATATGTTAATAATCTCATATATCACCACTTCACTTCACATCAATTCACATACACCACACTATTAACCCACACAGAAAGTTATGAATACTTTTCCTTGAAACTTTTCGCGCACGTAGCACGATTATTTTTTCACTATGGTCATATCATCACAACTATATGTACAAGACTTCGGAACATTGGACAGTTGTTCCTCGATTGATTGCTAGCTAGCATCACACATACACACACACAAAATTGCAATATGTGTGTATGTAATGTCCAAATTCCGGTTTCCCCTTTCCTGCCTTCCCTTTCTCCTTACTCCTCAACAACGCCGTTTCGTTTCAATGCGTTCGCAATGTTATGTATGTGCTTGGTTTGCTCGCTCGCTCGCTCGCAGGTGTGAACATCAGCTGCCCAAGTCATTTGCGTACGTAAATACAAAAAGGGATATTCTCCCCCCTTTACTCCGGCTGTAGTTGCATTCGGCCTCTTTTGTCAAAGGCCTGTTATCCGTGGTGATAATTAAAACCCCTTCCCTTTTTGCTCACAAGATGATTTTAGATTATACATTGGTATTTCGATTGATTCAATGGACATGACATCATGAAACCAAGAGCATGAGAGCTGGTAAAAGACATATGGCAATCGTCTTTCCCATTGGTTGACTTTTGTACGCAGCATATAGCGCCGCCGCCCGGGGTATCCGGTATCGCCGATCCGGTACTCGGTAATGCTGTAAATCCAGAAAAAGAAAAAAAGGAAAAAAGACAAAACGAAAATAAGGTGACGACAACGATGGTTCGGTAAATTTAGACAAATGAGACACCAAAGACAGGGTTCCTTGTAGTTGGTATGGTACTTGGGTGAGTAGTCGGAATAATATGGTGCCAAGTCATATCGAAGGCTATAAAATCTCATCGATAGATCGTGTTATCGGCGTTTCTCCCCTTGTAGGTGGACTTCGTGGATCGGCCGTCTGTGAAGGGCGTCCGAAAGGAGAAAAGGGATTTCTTGGAAACATAGTTTCCCGTGGAGAAAAGAGACCCTCGGTGGGTGTTGGCGGCGATTCGACGACAAACTTCATCCCAGACAATTCGGTGAAGGAATCATGGAGTGGGTTGTTTGTCATAGTCTCAACCCGTGGAGACATGATATCATCATCGTCGGGCAGAGCTGAAGTTATTGAGATGCTCCGGTGAGGCAATATCTCATCATGGTTACTGAATGGGTTCTGCCGCTTAGACCCTATATTGTGATCTTGAAAGCCAAAGTTGAAAGGTTCGCTAGGGAAATTTTGAGAGAACCCAATTTGAGGAAACCCAGGAGATGGCGGAGGCTTGAAGAAGGACGATGACCTAGGGGGAAATGCCGATTGCAGCCGCGGTTCCGGGCTCGGCTCAAACATCGTTGGTGGCTCGAGTGTATCCCCAAAATTAAAGCGACCAATGGTTTCCTGCTTTTTTCCTTGCTCGTTTTCTGACCATGAAAAACTAGATGGTGCAGATGAAGGCCCGGGAGAGATTGCCTCAATATTGGACGTCGATTTTCCACGGGAATGAAACGGGTTCCGATCCAGGCTGGACCCCTTCGATGTACCCTCTTCATCGGGCAATGGCGCGGTCATAGGCTCTTTAGGTTTAACACCTATAGCATCAGCCGACAGCGTAAGTCGATGTTTCGTCGGGCTTCTTCCGCTCCTAGGACCAGCACTAGACCGGGGCGCTCTCTTTTTTGAAACTTCCTTCTGAAAATCCTGTAAACAGTACATGAGCCGCATATTCGGGCTTATCCATCTACTTTTCGCTTGAGCTGCATGGTAAGCGTCGTTAACGCTCAATCCCGGATCCTGATATAAGCCGTATGCGATGATCAAGCTAGCTGAGCGACTCGCACCTTGCTGGCAGTGAACAAGCACCTTCTTCCCTTCTTTGGTGCGCTTATCAATTGTTTCACAAAGGTTCATTAAATCAGTAGCAATATCAGTATTATGGTCCCAAGGCATATGGATATATTCAGGCTCATTCCATGGGGCTGCTTTGGGCGTCGTGGGCGTTTCCGAGCTGGGCTCCTCACGAGGTGGGTATTCGAAAGCTGTTGCAAAACTATCATTCGTCATTGCTGTATCCGGTATTGGCGACTCGATCATAGCCTCCGGTGACCCCGAACTTGCTACGCTATCATTTCTGGTTTTCGAGGCTGCGAATGGATTGTGGACTTCACGAGCCACATTAATGACCACGTCGAATTTGGATGCTTCTTCAGCAGTGGGTTCTAGATAAAGATACACATTGTCGTTGTATATCGCAATCGGGCCATCGGGGTACCCTGGGGACTTTTGGTCCTCATTGATCTCCGATTCGTCACGGAAAGGCTCAAAATCCATAGCTGCCCGATTTGCCATCTGTGGTTTTATAGGGGAATCCTCCTCTGGTATTGTAGAACCACAGTCATCACTGATACTTCCTAGCCTTGTGGGACGCAATACTTCCGACAAGCCAGAAGTCCCCCGCTCGAAAACCGTAGGGAATGTCATTCCACCAGCCGGGCCAAATGTCGCTGACTTCATTGAGGACAGCATATGAGGTGATGACGTCGAATGCTTCAAAGACCTCCGCTGTAACATAGGCGGTAGGCTAGGCGAACCTGGCACTTCCAAAGCCATTGGCCGAAGATTCAGTCCCTGGGAATCAGTTTTAAGGCTGAGTAGACTAGGTTTTTTCCGAGGCCCGGGTATTCTAGGCTTGATAAAGCAAGGAGATGAAGGCTCAGAGACCAAAGTATTGCTCGAGGACGATGCAAATGGTGGCTGTATGGATAAGCCTTTCATATTCCTCGGTTTCCGGGGGCCGGGTGATGTCATGGGCCGCTCTGAGGCATTCGTGTTCGTATTGCGGTCGATCTGAAGACCGTCCATAGTAGGGATTTCTCTAAATGTACTTAAAGGAAAAGAATTTAGAGGTATTAAGTTGACTGGCGAGTCTGGCGACGATGAGGGTGACGGATCCGACAATGAAGAAGTATCTGTGGTAAGGGTGGGAGAGGAGTCGGCGGAATCCGAATTCTGGGTTGACGTGCTGTCATGGTGCCGGTGAGTCGAGTCGGATGGGACTGGTCGAAGATGTTGGTTTGTTGGCTGGGGAGCCTTCTGATCCACGTTTTTAGATGCATAGCGTGATTCCATCTCCATGAACTTGGGCTCCACGACGGTAACCAACTCCCTATCCCCAATGTTTTCACTTTCTGGGTCTATTATAGACATAAAAGAGGGTAGCTGATCCTCGAACATGCGTCGAGCGGCGGCGGAAGGCATATTGATGGTGGGAAAGAATCGCAACCCAGTGGTTGAAACGCCCAGCTCTCTTCTAATCCACACACTAGAGTGTTGATGCCGTCCTCTACTCCTTCCGTTGAGTTGTGGTTCGCCTAGCAACGTCGACGCTGGCTGGATCGGGAAGCGTCTGTCAGTATGTTTAAAGGGTATAGTGTATGTATGACGGTGGTGAAAGGAATGCGATCATGGAAAAGGCGGTAAGGCCAAGACCTAAAGTTGGACAGCGCTGCTGAATCCTGCTCATGCACCTCGCTCCTACTTGTTGGCAGTCTCAAAATAAACCCGTTCTGTCGGTCAGAACAACGTGGATCCTATACTTGGTCCCAATGAGCCGACAAAGAGACGCCGGGGCGCGCAACGTCTTGACGATTGATTGATTGACTGATTGTTGCTTCACTCCGTGGTTAAAGAGGGCAAAGAACGTCGAGACGAAGGCAAGGGACTCGGAAAGAGACAAATGAGAGAAAGTATGTACGACGGGTGGCGTAAAGGTGGGCGTGTGTAGGTAGGTAAAATTAGAAAGGCGTGCGTGTTTCGGGTGGCTACAAGTCGAAGGCCATGGGGACAGTGGACTCTTAGGTCTACCAAGACGGGCGACAAGGGCAGAAGAAGGACATCTGCTGGTCTGAGTAGGATGCCAGGTTAGGATACCAGGTCTAGTATAGCAGGCGCTTGAGAGTGCGGGTAAGAGTGAGGGTACACTGGGCAACGGTACGACCGGCGGCGGTTGTAGTGGTGAGGAGGAGGAGGGAAGTGGTGTAGGTCTGGTGTACTATGTAGGTCTGGATGTAGGTATTGGGCGGTACGAGAAGCGAGGAGGAAGACTATACGGGGTGGGTGGGTGGGTGTACTAAGTAAAGTACCAGCAAGTGAGAGCGAGAGGTGGGAATTGGATTTGACGGCACATTCAACTTCTCACTGGCGCATGCCAAAAATGGAATACACACTACTTACCTACCCGGTCTCCCGTTTAATTTGACGTGGACACTGCCTAGGCCACCTGGAGTCGAGGACAGAAGTAAATGTCCAGGTAGAGAGAGGTATGTAGAGAGGTAGGTAGATAGAGGGGGGAGAAAGAGAGAGAGAGAGGACAAGGAAAGGGGAATTGAGTAACGTGTAAAGTGAATAGTGAGTGAGTTAGGTACTCAGAGTGAGTGAGTGAATTGGAGGGCGCAGAAGAGGACAAGACAAGACAAGAGACCAGAAAGAGACCAAAGAGGCGAAGAGACGAAGAGGCAGAGAAGAGAGACGAGAGAGAGACGAGAGACGTCGTAGCCCCCCGGCTTGGTGCTGCACCTTCTGCGCCAGCCAGCGGTAGCCGGGGATGTATACTGGGATTCTGTGGGATGTACTGGGATGTATCGGGATGTACTATTGCAGCAGATTGCAGCCGGGTGGACCAGCCCTGGCGCTTGCACGACCAGTTGGGTCTCGCTTGGCGCAATAGCGCTGCAGGCCTGCGCCAGGTACTGCACAGGTACCGCCGCATCTCTCTGGCTTCCTCTTGTTCGTCTTGTCTCTTTTTGCTACTGCTTTTTAGCCGGGAGAGGCCACGAGACAGCCTCGACAGCAATGTCCCGAGACACGCTAGAGACTTGCGACTGTCCAAGATCACTATCTTGACCCACTTTGTGGCTCCAATGCTCAGGTCGTCTGGCTGTGTGGCAGAGGTACCTTGAAGTGACTGCACATCTACCATACATACATACCATACCTACCTACTATACATATGTTATGCTACACTGCCTAAGTGCACTCTCAAAGAAACGCATAGGAACGAATGAACGACTGTTGCCATTTCTTGAGGCCTTCCTTATCCCAAGCCCTATCTTATCACAGGTGTCTAAATCTTGATTATTGCTTTGGCGAGGTAGTAGTATATACATTACCCATTACCTATAACTAGGTATACATAGGTAGGTAGTAAGAGTCAGTGTGTGGACTGCCTACTATGTATAATACTATGTACCTAGGTAGGTACCTACATCATTCAGCAGCTGCCCCGTACCTCGGCCCTACGCTCGCTTCACACCGTACCTCCTAGGTAAATGATCTAGCAGTATCCTTGGGCGATAGGCACATGCCCTGGTGTCTCTAATCTTTGTTTCATAGTATCATTTATCATCATCGCTTAAAGAGTATTATTGCGGCTGCGCCCTCTTTGTGACCACACTCTAACCATCTATTATCTTCATAAAGCATACAATATATAGGCAGTAAACGACACAATACAGTTCCATATACTTCCCGATGGCCCTCCCAATTGGCGTGGTGGTGGTGGTGGTGGTGGCTTGAGTGCCCTCCCTCTCTCCCTCTCTCTCTCTCTCTACCGTCCTGTCTGTGGATGGCTATGGTGCGGTGGGAGGGGACTGGAGGGGGGACTCTGCGGTACTTGCAGATGGTGTGTTCCATCATATGTATGCCGAGTTCTGCGGCCTCCACATCGCTGAGGCATGGGCTGGCATGGAGCAGGCCATCTCGACACTTGAGTGGTGGTGTTGGCTCCTCACTGCGCAAGGGTTGGTGTTTGCGAAACGAGACGCCCACCTGGAACAGGGGTTGTGGCCGGTGATGAGCTGCTATTAATAGCCCCTGCTACCCAAGCCCATCCAAGCCCACTTCAAGTCGGCGCCAAACCCTCAGCAAATCAAGTCTCGCCGCTCCCATTTCGCCAGAGACAATCGCCCGTCGTTTTCCCCAACCCGCTGCTGATCGAGGCCCCCCTCTGCGCTACGCTATCCAGTGCAACCCTGCCAAGCCTATCGACGACATTCCGCGGAGCCCAGAAGCGCGACATGTCTTGAAGGCGGCTCTTGACACAGCGCTCTCGCCTGCTCTGGACTGCGCTCAACTGTGTTGAGCTGTGTTGTCTTGGTTAACGGGTTCCCGGGGTTATATGTTATATGGTCGGCAGTCGTCTGTCACGGGAAAACTTGGCTCATCCACTGTCCTGGAACTCATCGCAGCGTCTCGATCTCGCTAGCGTCTACTATGTAGACAAACACCTACGCTACCTACACTATCACCTACACTACAACCCTCACGTGGTTTACGCAGCCTCATTCATGTTTTCTCTGACCTACACTCCGTTTGTGCAGGCTACCCACCTGCACAAGACCCGCCATTATCAGCTTTTCATTGGATATTGCATTGGCATGTTGGGCGAAAGCGGCGGCTTGACCTGAGACAAAAATAACCCATTTACCGATTTAGGGGCTGCGGGAACCCGCGAACTCCGTTACCGTCTACCTACAATTCCTTCAGCAGTGAGTCAAATGTTGGCTTTCAGTTCAAAGTTAACCCATCATTCCGCTACAGGGCTTCCTGGATACGTTAATATGTGTACACGTCCAAGTACAGATGTGTCCATTCACTTTCCGGAAAAGAAGAAAATGGTTCTGTCTCATTCCAAGTTCTTAGTGGCAAGGAACTCCCTTGCGCTAATGAGAGCATTGTCCGTTTTCGTACTAACTTCTAAGAAACCCCAGACTATATATAGATTTGATTTGAAGGAATCGCTAGTTGAAGTAAACTGAATAGGATGACGCTGGAATTACTTACTATTACGCACGCCAGTGTGTCCATACCAAGAGTTCGCACCACGTACTTACATAAGCATAAGATACACTGCAATATGAACTCTTGTGGTGGCAAGGGTGCCTATATTGTTGGATAAGTAGTCGTGTATGTGCATGCATTTTTAGCAGCAAGCCACGTGCATGGGCAATAATCCATGTAGTTTAGCGTGTGTCCGGCTTAGCTGAACATCGTGATAGATCGCGTCACCGAGTCATTTCACCAACCCGCCTCGTATACTATGCGTACTATGTAAGTAAGTATGAGATGAACCAAAAGTGAATGGCCATAGCGCTGGAAGGAATCGAACCTAACCCACCATATATATATATGCCCCACCAAGGGTATAAACACCCTACCTATATGTAATCCAGAAAGCTCGAAATACAGAGGGGAATAAAAGAGTTATAGCATGCACCTTGGAATACCTACAAAATGGCATACCCTGTATCTAGTGTAAGTATGCGTTAGTTTCCAGCAGAGAAGAAAAATCTGATACTCATCAGTAGACGCTACGGAACACACATGGAACCCGTTGATTCTAAGCTAGTATTCAATCTACTCTATTGTAGGTTAGACAATTCAGCTCTGTTCAGGGGCCTGGGCAACACTTAACTTAGCGTGAAGCGTTTGAATGGCGCCTTGGCAAGTCTGAAACGTTAAGTTGAACAGTCTATCGAACCTTCCGCCTACCTAGCTCGCTCAGTCGTCTCATATCAAACCATCCAATCCATCGTGGGAAAAGGCGCACTTACACCGGCTGCACTTACTACCGTAGTGCACTTTCTACAACTTATGATCATCGTCATATGGAAGCTTGGCTGTGCGGAATCTTCAGCGCGGCGATAGGGCCAAGCAGGGCTTAAGAATTACGTTATTCTGAGGCTGAGGCTCTTCAATTTGTGTATCTCGTGAGATCCGTCCTTCTGTTAGCGCGTCTTAGTGCTCAGCTGTATACATATAAACAAATGTCGATATTCAGCACTACGGTATCCCACTTATTAGATCTCGTCTACTTAGTGTTCAAATCCAACGCGTATCTCGTAGCCGTGAAGATTTGTGGGTGATCTTCACTAAGCGTTGCGCTAACAGATTAGCCTGGAAGGTGGTTCTCATCAGCCTTCATGTGCACAGATGCTTACATATACGATCTCTTTGACGTTGCCGAGGATTCTTCGAATTGAATGCTGCTAATTGAGAAAAGCAATAGGATTTCATGATAATTAAATGATTCCGCCGATTAACGCGGCCTCACCGTGATCCTCTTCAGTGACACGTTTGTGAACATAGTGTTGATCTAATAATATGAGTTCCCGGAGAGATTCTGCGGAGGAACATCATGCCGGAACACTACACATCTATATTGTCACACACAAACGCTTACTGCAGATGAGAGTACGAATTCGCCATGACAGCGGTCAACTTCCCGAAACTTCGCCGGTATTATAGGGTCTAGTTACACAGTAGCTGGGAGAATATTGGCAGCTTTGCATCAACTTGTACGACTTCATGAACTCCGATATACTGCTTTTCGGATGCCGAACTACATGACGACCTACCTCGCCAAGTTTGAACCAAGCCCTATCTACGAGAAACCTAAGTTAGTGCAGGTAGACTACTCATTCAACGTGCTGGGTCTGTGCTTTTTCTCTAGACTAGACGTTAACTACCAACTTGGTAAGCTTCCTTTAGACATCGAATTAGTTTAACTAATCGAGCGTCAAGGCGCTAATGAGAAGATCGTTATTAGAATTGATATATCTACAGTACGCAGTAGTCACGCCAAATTTGTCACCAACTCACCGTACAAAAGAGGTACAACTGATAGAGAGCGTTTTCGTATCACGGGAGAGAGATGACATCGCAAACCCAAGACGTTTACGATTCCCCTTCCCCCACAAACATGCCTCAACCCTGCCAGTTGTACACTACGCTTACTAACTACCACGTGTGGAGTTGGTTGAAGATGACGGACAACGGGTATCGTTAGCGAGGCAACAAATCTTGGCTTCTTTTCCTACAAGGAAGATTTGATAAGATGCCATGTCAGCAGGAACCGATTGCCTGTTCGCATCATCTCAACAATCCCGTACCGGTAAGAGCATCTGGGCATGGCCAAGTCAAAATCTATACTACATTAAGGGTCCGAAATCCACAATCGACGCATGGACACTGCAATCTACACTACTGTACACTCTAAATTTCTAGTTCGATTGACGAATGCCAGGGACGAGCAGTGAGGCACGACAATCTCAGGACCTCTGTTATCTTCTCAATCAAACCAGCCTGGCTCAAGAAGAAGACAGCTCCGCTCACGCAGCTGCACCTGGCCAGAAGCAGACTGCCTGCAATTTGGTTAAGGATCGTTGTGCCCAGGTAACACGAACTTGGGAACACGCGTGCTGGAGCATCCCGGTAGTGCCTCAAGATGACCAGAATCGCATACCTATCCCAGCAAATACCGGGAGCTGGGCCAAAATGGGAACAACTCCCAGTATCAGCCACACCGGGGCGATCACGGGCGGCGCCGAGTGGGCATTCGATAAGTCTGTCGATATACCTATAGTAACTAATCAAAAAGCAGACATTTCATATCACTCATTCCCCAAGGCTATGCCCCTATATCACACTTGACGATCGCGACGGGAAGCTTTTCTTCTTCTAATGCGCGGGGCCCATTTCTCGCACCTGGACAAACAAACCCATACAGCCCGAGTAGGTAGTCTACTTAGGTGTCGAATGCTGTCAGTTTTCCTGCAGCTTCCCTGTCATGAATGAGGCTGCGAAAAAAAAAAAAACAGTTTGATTGAACTCCCAGGAGAAAGGGTAAGCGAGCTGCAAAGCCCCCTCAAATTTCCGATTGTGGTGCTGTGCTGCAGTTCGGACATCAGAGCCCGGTCCCCTTGTACGATAGAACCGAGTATTAAGCTTTCAATTCAACTACATTCCACGATGACATACCTTATACCTACATACCATTCTACGTGATCAGAAAGGGGCTGAAGAAATACAGTGCAGCAGATGCAAGGTAGTGTAGGTACGGGAGGTAGGTAAGATGTTTGGTGCTACTGTATCGTGCAAATTGTTGGTTGGTGATGGTCTCTGATATCACCTGCATGCTGACATGCATTGGCCTAAACACCCACGCTTCTCTAGACTCGTGATTCAACCTACAATTGTACTAAGTAAGTTGAGAGTAGAGCAAGTCTAATTGTTTCATTTCCAAGGAACGAGACGAGACTGGCGCAGCCTCTCGACGCCTCTCATACCCACTACCAAGGTACCCTACTGTATGGCACTGGATGATGCAATTTGGGACCGTGTCTTTTTTGCCCGTTTCTTTTTCTCACTTTAATGCGACGTGCAAACAGCTCACGAAACAAAATCACTGCAAATAAGCCGCGTACTGCCTATCAAAGCCTGTACAATTGTCCAGAAAGTAGGCAGACAACATTCCTTTCCGCCTATCTACCTAGATGGACATCTCGGCCTCAGTATACATCTGGCTCCAGACCTGTGTGCATACTCAACCGAGGCTTGTCAGTAGCAGCTGTTCCAACGCCACAAACAAACAGAATACGTGAAATTGACAATCCATGCCAAGTATCTTCTCCTTAAAAGTCAATTGAGCTAATTTCGGCACTGCTCATTAACGATGACGCGTCGAACATCGACGGCCTCAGTAAACCAGTCGATCGTGGACTGTTATGAATAGAGCTCCTCGTGCCCTGATAGTCCATGTAGAGACGGACCGAGTGATGGCTATCAACTCCCTTGCTCCAATATCAACAATCTCATCGAGATGTATATTTTAAGGCGTATTTCTGTAAACAGTCAACACCAAGGCTCACTCGAGTAACACACATGGCATCTACTGGGTAGGGTAGCTTGGAACATAACTTTGTCACAACTCAGTACGTACTCCGTACTGCCTCAGCTGTCATGCAGTTTTCCCGTTCGTAACACGATTTCGCTTCATTACCAGAAGGGCGCCAATACATGACGGATATACCTCAGTTTGCTAGCCAGTGTGACAATCTGCGGGTTTCAGAGCCGGACACAACAGCTGTCTAACGACGTTATGTGCCTCAAACGAGCAGCCGTACCATCATCCGGTTGTTTCTACCATTGCCCGTTCCACACAATCGGTATCGCGCCGGCGTTGGAAACCCTGCGAAATGTTTTGCAAACGGATCCTGGCGTCCATAGTACCATGCCGCCACATTCGAGCTAACAACTTAATGATATGGTATATAGATGTGGGAGAGAACACACAGACCTTCTCGTTCCGCGTCGACATACATATGTAAATGAATGCAGGGGTGATCTGGTCGATTGAGCCCTTTTGAATTGCTGGCTGGATCCCTGGCTACGTAGCATTTTAGCCCGAATGGATGACGACCGCGCTGGTAGCGGCCCGTTTAGTCTTGCACCCTTCCCCAAACTGGAGATCCAACCCCTTCCGTTTATTGGCGTTTCACGGAACGTGCCTTAGCGGCGAAGTTGATCTTGTCAATCGTAAATCGCAAATCGGCTACCAAACACTCGCAGAAGCAGGCCGTACGTACATAGCAAAATAGGTAGAGACCTCGATGAGGTGTATCTAGGTAATAATGCTTCCGTACATGCGATAATTGTATACGATCAGCGTAGGTGCATATCCGTTTTGAATTGCCGATTTCGCATCGTTATACACCCTACAGGCCACATTTTCCTTGACCGATATCCCCAACCACCAACAACTTGCAGCGCGATGTTGCCTTTTGTGATGGTAGCGTGCATCCCGCAGGCAAGCCCCGGTCAAAGGGCCCATGCGAAGATGGACGGACTGGACTAGGTTGCGAGGAAAGGGGCACGCACGATGCACGTCCGTCACCGGCCGGTTGGTGCCAAAATACCTCGATTGCCGGCCAGCGCGTCTCTGGCATTTCGTTTGTGTTTGAATTGCCTATGTAATAATACATTACATAGTAGGTAGACCTTGTCGTCTACATGTAAACTAATCCAGCTTCGATTTGACCTCAAAAAGACATATGGCCCTCCTCCCGGACCACCTTATTCCATCCCTGCTATAACTCAACGGCCTGAAGCGTCAAAGTTGACAACGAGCCAACCCGTTGATCGAATAGGGGAGAGGGACATACTGGGGCATCAGGCGCCAATACGGTATCTCCTCCAGACGCATCCTTGCAGCAAGCAAGCAGAAAAAAAACTCCTGCTCCTAGTCGTCCGTTTCCTTTCCACTTGGACCCTGATGTGGGAAGAATTCCAGGGCACGATCAGCAAAACAATCACAATTAATCCCCTTACCATTTCCCGTCAAATTTCCTTGGTTTTGTGAAACCCCTCGCAGCGCCCTCTGCTAGAAGAAACGTGCCGTGGGACCAACCATTGCGCATTCCCTCATCATTTCTAAGCAGCTTTTCTTGCTTCGACAAGCTGACCAGCTTGGATCCATTCTACCGAAGTCCTTTGCACTGCATGCATTCACACCCTACTCTTACTCATCGCACAGGCAGTCTCGAAGGTAGATTTCCAGCCTATGTGACTATTGGTCGGATCGGTGGTGCGGCACACAATACTTATGTTCTTTTTTCCCTGGTCCGCTTTCAATACAGTTCAGCAGTGAAGAACTTAAACCAACAATAGAACGCCTACTCAACAGGCGTCCGAAACAATAGTACCGGGAGCTACCAGGACTTGTGAAGCAGCCGCCCGGGCCAAGGAACAAAGAAGAGATGGACTCGAGTTTCGCAGAGCCGACCCATGCCGTTCCTGATCATGGGTCCTCGTCCTTACTACTAGGCGCTGTAACAGCAGGCGTTGGAGACGATTCTGGCGCGAGGGCTGTAACGGCCGTCACGGCCGACGCGGACAGGGGCCGTAGCAGTGGTAATGAAGACAGCCCAGCAGCGACAGCGATAGCGACAGCGACAGCGGTAACGTCTCCTATAGCGGTAACCCCAGTGGTGACCCCAACGGTAACTACAGCGGTAACTCCAGCAGCAGCAACGGCACCACCAGCGCTGGGCGGCAGATCTGGATCGGGTTTTTTCAGTTCGGTGCACGCACGGGCACCTGCACCTGCACCTGCACCTGCCACTACTACTGCCACTACCGCACCATTGCAAGCCCCCCAAGCCTTCCACCCGTCCTCAACGCCATTATCATCATCATCATCACCACCTGATTTCAATTTCCATCCTCCCCCATCCCAATCCCGCCCGCCTCTCACCAGACCGCGCACTCTCCACGCACACCGCCAAAGCCATAGCTCGTCCAAGCTGCCGGCCTATCGCTTTGCCGACTTGAACAAAGGGTCAATTGCTTCGCCTTTATTGTTGCAGCACCCGCAAAATAACCGCATCCCACCCTCGCCTGTCTCACCTGATTCGGATCAGCGTCCCGAAACACTGCTAAATACTGTTATTCACTCCTCCCCACCAAGCACCTCTGAGACCCGTGCCGCCCAAAATACCAATTCTAGGAAACGCAAGTCCTGCGACGTAGAAAACGTTGTCTCACGCCCTCCGCCATCAACACAGGTAGATGCAGTCAGATCTCGGGCATCTACCTTCCAACCTGAATCGGCTTCTCTCCCCGCAACCACGTCTTCAACCAATCTGAAGCGATCCACATCACTGGATACCGCCAGCGCTCCCCCGAACACCACAGGTGTTAAGTCACCTTCGGGTTCTTCTGAGACAGTCATCACGGTTCTTAAAAGACGCGCACCCACTTCCACATCTCCAAGTACGCCGTCAGAACAAGACGTCGACGCCGCCGCCGGCGGGTTATCCGCTGAGGCGACAACAAGGGGTAGTTTTTCCGGCCAGCGGGAGCTTCTACTACCCAAGTCATTACAAAGAACCGCATCAGATGATAGGAGGGTTTCCATATCGAGGAAGCCCCCCATATCATACAAACCGCGCACTAGTACCGGGGGTTCTGCCACTGGCGCCTCCATACCACCTATTCGGTCATTTCGATCATCTGGTGAACGACGTAGCCTAGTGCTCGACATGAACCTCAGAACTTCGCGCACCCACGACAGTGGAGACGATCATGGTGATTCGAGCCATCGCGATAGAACACTACGTGCTTTAGAGGGAAGACGAGGTGAGGATATCATGCAGTGGACACCACCCGACTCCGCCGGAGAGCGACCCGATGGAGATGATACAGGAGACTTATTTCTGAAGATCGCCCGAGAGGACTCTTCACAGCGCACAACTGACGGTAGCAAGATGTACCATATAGATAACCTAAATGCAATCGTAAGCCAAGCCCTCTCATTTCTATTGTTCTTAGACGTATGCATGTCTAGTACTCATTGCGCCCGGCTTTTTTTTCTTTTCCTACTAACCACCCTACACCGATGATGCTCCTATTGTATGAATCTTGTTTAATAACGACTAATTGTTTTCTAGTCTCGCGTAGCACGTAGTGCTCGCCGGCCTCTTTCAGTGGCCATATCGCCATACCAATCACCTTCATACCGATCCCCGTCTCCTCCTCGCATGTCTCGGCGCATGTCTGAACAGGAATCTCGGGTCAGAGGTCTCGGCTATGAACCAGGAGAGAGAACAGGTCCGCCTGTGTCTTACCGAGGACACACCAGGGAGCCGCACTCAGAAGATTTCAAACTTAGAGGCACTAGCCCATCAGTCCGGCCATCTCCTCTTACGCCCCGAACTTCCTACCAGGATTCATCAGAGCCTTCTTCTACACACCGAAGACGGCAACATTCCATTGATCGCAGCTCTGCCGTTTTGTCTCGAGCAGCCACCCTGAAACAAGCAAATGTTAATTATAGCCACCCTCGAGCGTACAACTCATCTCCTCTGGTACCGCAAACTACAGAATCTCACAGGAACGATGCGCAACCCAACGAGGGAACTCCTGTAGAGGGCACAGATTCGACAACCTCGACTGCTGCACCTTCGACAGTTTGGGATGAGCTAGAAGAGTTGAAATCACGGATTCATCGCCTCGAATTAACTGGGAAACTTCCGCCCACCTCGAGCGCCGCTATATCGCGAGCGTCTGATGAACGCCCACCGACTGCAAATACAAATGCCACAACATTATCGGCCTCGCCCAAACGTGGTACTTCTTCGAGCGTAGTACAGAGCACAGAAGCAACGCCAGCGCCAAAAGATAGTCACCCGCTGCTCAACTCAGCTCTAGCGAAATCTAAGGAATTTCTGGTACCCGAGGTTTATGACGCATTAGAAGCGGCAACCGTAGATGCTTTAGCTCTTACCGCCATGATGGGCACTGCTGGGCAGCCAGGTCCAATCTCTAGTGGGGCAAGCAATATTGGCAGCAGTACTGGAGCGGTCACTGATCGCCAGCTAAGGAAAAAGGCAGACAGTGTTTGTCGAAGCCTCACGGAATTATGCCTGGCACTAAGTGAACACGCAGGTGCGGCCAAACATCAACAAATAGTTGCACCACCTCCAGAAGATGCCACAGTGACCAGTCCTACGATCATGCAATTTTCGGGAATAGCAACACAGAGACGGCCGAGTGTCCCTGCAAACCGACCTATTGAGCTGCCGACAAGCCCGAGAACTATGTCCCGTTACGAAGAAAAAAGAGCTACTATTTTAACCGCCAGTGCTCTACCAAGCCCACGATACAGTAGCAATGTTCCTACAACGGCAGATGCCATCAGTGCTACTAGCGCAGGTCGTAAAAGCTCGCTTTTGTTCTCACGAGCTCGCCGTGCTGGAACCGAAGAACCTGAAGATGGCCGTAGGACTTCGACCCTTTTGAGAAGTCGCCGTGCTGGTACAGAGGAGCCTGAGGATGGACTGGATCGAAAGCCCATCTTAGTTCGTGGACGTCGTGCAACGCTCGATCCCGGTGAGGAGGACCCCCGGTTCCGTACACCCTCACGAGCTATAACTGAAGTCAATGGTTCCCGGCCACGCGAATACATATCACATCTCCCACCACCTCCTATCACCAAAGACGTCGATACCCTGGCAAACTCAGCTCTTCCAAGAAGGCGTCTTGTCGGCTCTGCGACCATAAACACACGGATGACGCAACCAGCAACAGTGACGACACCACAAACGCCGTCTTCTATTACACCGAACAGACGATATGTTGATAGAACCACGCCAAGCCGGGAAGTGACTTTTGACGCGGATGGACTGAGCGGTGATCGACCTCAACAACGGCAATTCTCTCTGGCTCGTTCTGGAAGCCTGAATCGTCGGGCCACCAACCGACAGAGTATGATTGCGACGCCCTCCAATACGACGACCAGTTATTATAGATGATAACTGAACGAGCCTATCACGATCATAACGACGATGTACCAATAAATGTGTCCGTGGGACAAAAAGGCGTTTTTTGTAACAGCATCTAGCATGAATAGGCGTTTTCCTCTTTTTGCTTCTGTTTCGTTTTCTTATCTTACTTGACGTAATCTTCCGAATACCCTTTTTTTCTATTTGGAACTTTTATGAAAGCCGCTTGTTCGGTCTTGGAGGGCGATTGTTGGAAGGAACCCGCGAATATCCACCGAAGTGGTGGAGGGTCAGTGGCCGTATATAATGTATCAATAAATTAACCTTTCCTGGCGGTTTTATGGTTTCGGAATGAAAAAAAGAAAAGCATTTTTTGTTTTTTAAGCATTGACAGAGACAGATGGGGGTTGGAGGCGTGTTGTGATTGTTATAATATATGGATTGTTTTTTTGATGTTTACTTGTTGTTTTTGATATATCTACCTAGGTAGTTATCTGATCAATGATCACTCTTAAGATTTATGCTATGCTATGCTATTCGCTGAGTTGTATGCTTGCGTGCAAAGTAGTGAGATGGAGTTGACGTAATTTCATTCGGCTCTGAGAGGACCTGGTGATGCTTTTGATTAGAAGATTTGGTCTTATTACTGGGTCTCGTAGTGATGTGTATATACATAATGTATACCTAAGTATGATTCAAGATCACGCACCTATTAGGATTGTTTGCCGTTCAAATGAGCTATTTGAATACTTAGCCCTCGTCAGTGGTTCAGTTAGTGGTCAGTGCGTACAGCCTTCCGTAGCGTATATAGCCTGACGAAGGTTATGACCTGGCAAGTCATTCCTTACTTCGTCACCATATAATTAATAGTATGTTTCCAGTATTTACCGACGATACTGCACATTATGCCCATCGTAATAATAGATTATATACGTATAAGATTAAAGGATATTAATTGTAAAAATATAGATAGAGGTTTTAAGATTAGATTAATTATTTAAGTCTTTTTAAAAAGGGGAAGAAGTAAGTTTAACTATATATACCTAGAATCTTATGAGCCTAAACTTCTATGGGATAGGGGACATGTCGCCAGGCAGGGCAGATCTCTCCTTGGCTAACCACCATACTTGATGTAGGATACTTCGTACAACCCTCTTAGAAACCAAGGCAGTGTCTGCCTTATACAAAACTCCTAGGTAAGCCAAAGCCATATGAACCACGACTTGCAATTGCATCAATGTCTTCAATCTTCCTACCGATCTTAACAAGGCTCTCAGTTTCAACATAGGTGCGACCCAGCGGGGGTACACGAGAGCGCAGCCTTAAGACCTCGTGCGCGAGATAGGAGTTAGTGAAGCACCAACAGTCTAGGTCTTTATAGCCGGTAACTTCCACGAAAGGCGCCGCATATAGCACTATTGCCTTCAGGAGAGCAGCTAAGTATGCAAAGACGAAATATTGCATCAATTAAATGCACTCTAAATCGGCCTCTCGGCAAGCATATCGAACGTCTGGAGGCGTAATCGCAGTCGTTGGACTTTTCAATAGATATAGAAATTTCAAACGGGCGCGCTATGAGTCATAATCCATAGTTACAAGTTGTTTTGTTCTCCAGATAATTTATTTCAGTGGCTCTTCTCCGTATTATTATTTTACATGCACCCATGTCTCGCCTTAGGAGGCCCATATCTGCCCCTATTCTCTCTTTACAAGAGCAATACTTGCAGTCCCAATCTGGAAGCAGAGGGTAGGCAGAGGCCCATTGCAGCCTGTGTGGAAACTGCCAGCGAGTTCCGTGCTGCAGTATCTTTGTCAGTACCTCACGCACTTTACGGGATCAAACGAGTTACATCTTCAGCATGATAGGAGAAGATGTGTTTATGTAAAACTCACCCATCTTCAAGAGTGTGTTGAATCTCCAGAGTCCATGAGTTGGGATTGGGGCTGTCCAAGACCGAGAAGGTGTAGGCATGGTCGGTGCAAGTAAAGCGCTGCGATGGGTACTCTGCCAACGCACCGCTGTCGCAGGTGATGGAGTGGTTTAACAGCGAGAAATGTACCGTCGTTGGTTCGCCGGTTAGACTGGTGCGCACAAAGTCGTTGACGATGATTTGCTCAATGGGTGCCGCAGCGGCGGGTGGCACTGGAGAAGCCCCAGCCGCCGCAAGTGTGAAGAGTGTTCCGGTGATGGACTTCATGATAACCTTCTTCTCGGGGATGGAGTGACTGCCAAGATAATAGTATGAGGTTGCTCGGCGGCGAGTCTTGAGAGTGTAATGGCTTGATGTGGGTGTGCCATAGCGGGCGGAACGAGGACATCATTATATCTCTTGCTTTTCAACCCCAGGTCGTAATATCTCGTATTGACGAAACGTGTGATGGGGAAATATGAAGTTTCACACATGCTCTGTCATTCGCTACCGCCCTGAAGTTCATCCATTTTGGTGAGCCCGGCACTGCTGCTATTTTCCCGTGCCTTGTACACCAATGCAACATAACGAGAGCCCGGATAACGTAGATGCTACGGAAAAGTGGGTCTACAGGCTTATAAGGCCAGGGTCAACATGACCTTGCTACCGGCCTGGCGACATGTCCCCTATCCCATGGAAGTTTAGGCTTATAAGATTCTAGGTATATATAGTTAAACTTACTTCTTCCCCTTTTTAAAAAGACTTAAATAATTAATCTAATTTTAAAACCTTTATCTATATTCTTATAATTAATATCCTTTAATTTTATATATATATAATCTATTATAATAAAGTATAAGGTTAAGCTTACTTTAATTATACTTAAGCATATAATAAATGTATTAAATATATACTATATTGGAATACTATACGCACTATAAAGGGATATTATAAAAATATATAAAATATATATTAATAAGGTTATATAACCTATAATAGCTATTAATATATATATATCTTTATATATATTTATATTTTAATTTTATTTTACCTTTCTTTTTTCTTTAATTTAAAATCTTTATTTATAATATTAATATAGCTATACCTTAAAACCTTAATTATAATATTATTTTAAGCTCCTTTTTTTTATTAATAAATACTATATAAATATATTACCTATATTTAATTATTATTATTTATAATTTATAAATTAAACCTTTCCTCCTTTTATTATTATATTTTATACTTAATAATAAATAAATATAACTTTATAATAAACCTAATTAATAAAATTAAACCTTATACCCCTTAAAATTAAAAAAACCCCAATTAAAATAAATAATTTAAAACGATTTTAATAATTATTATTATATATTATATTTAACATTTTTATAATTAATAAATAATTAACTTAAAATTTTATCCCTTTAATAAAGGAAGAAGAAATTAATATTAAATTTAAAAATAGCTTTTAAAACTTTTTAAACCTTAAATTAAAAGATATAACGCTTTTATTATTAAACCTTAATTTAAATAAAGGATTAATAAAACTACTTTAACTAATAAATAAAATAAATGCTATTAATTAAACTATTTTAATTTAATAATTATAAAAATAAATTACCGCTTTTTAAACTTAAATAAAAAAAGATAGCTTAACTTTAATATTATAAAAAAGTATAATTAAAAGTACCTTTAATAGAATTAACTTTAAGTTAATTAATATAATTATATAAGCTATCTTTAAAATAATTAGTTTAATAGGTAACCTTATAAGCTTAAACTTAAAATATATAAAAAAGGTTAAAACTTATAAAACTAATTTAAATACCTTTTTTAAAAATAAAGACTTATTTAATAATTAATTAAAAAAGCTAATTAATAAACTTAAAAAAGATATAATAATATATTATATTAAAAAAAGTTAAATATATTATATTATATCCCTTTTAAAGGAAAATGTTAAAAAAGTAATTAAGATTTACTTTTATTTTATTATTTAACTATATAATAATTTAATTAAAATAATATAAATATTAAAAATAATTTATTATAATTTAAATTAAAGTATTTAAATATAAAACACTTTAAATAATTTCTACTTTAAATTAAATTTTAATATTTATTAATTTATTTTTCAATTTAACAACCTAGTGTTATACGGAGGCTTCACTTCTAAAGGTAAGGCTTCGTATAACAGCTAAAATTGTATATTAATTCAAGTATGAAGAAGAAAAGAGAACTATTGTACAGTGGCCCATTCCGGCCAGGTCCTTTATAGGTTAAGGGCAATTGCGGTTTATGGGTCAGGTGGCAACAGCTGTCCAGACTGGTAGGCGCACACAAGTGTGGTGGGCCGTACGGTAGCCCTATACGCGTGAGGTACATGGGTACCTACTGCCACTGGCCACAATCTATAACTCCTAGTATTAAAGTTAAAGTTACCTAAGTTTAAATAGTTTTAATTCTTATAAAAATATATTAGCTTTAACCTTAAAATTAAAGTATTTAAAGCTAATATTAACCTATTAATATTATATAAACATTTTTATAATAAAGTAATAAAAGTAATATATAATTATAATTATTATTATAATTATTAAAAGAAAAGATAAATTATTAGCTTTATTAATTATAACCTTAATAATAAAAAGAACTTAAATAAAGGAAATATTATAATAAAGCTTAAAGGAATAAAACTTTTAAAGAAAAAGAAAAAAACCTATTAAAAAAATAATACTTACTTTAATTATAATAAAATAGGATATTATATTATAAATTACTCCGGAAAAAGTAAAAATATAGTTTAAATATAAAATAAAAAAAGTAAAAAAAAGTTTACTAATTCCTCTTTTATTAAATTTAAGTTAAAAAATTAATTAAATTATTAAAAAATTCTTTAATAATTTATAAACTATCTTTAATTTATATAAAAAGTAATTAAAATATTATTTAATTTATATATTTTATTTAAATATAAATAAATAATCTTAAAATAAAAACTATTATATTATATAATATTAAAGTTTAAATATATTTAATAATTAATTATAAATTAACTTATTATATTAATTATTAATTAAAAGTTAAGTTAACTATTAAAGATAACTTATTAATATAGTTAATTAATACCTTACCGTTACTTTAAAAGTAAAAGGATAAAGGTTTAAAGATTAAACCTTTTAAATTATTAATATTAAATATAATATTATAATTAATTTAAAGTAACTAATTAAAAATAAAGTTATTTTAAACTATACCTATTAAATATTATATTAATTAAAAGATTTATTTCCTTTTACTTTATTTTTACCTATAATTAAAATTGTATAAAAGTTTTTTAATAATTAATAAGTTAACCTTATTATCCAATAGGACGCTAATTAAAGGGATGCCGCTTTAGAAAAAAAATACATTATTTTAAAGTAATTAACTATATACCTTTAAAAAAACATCCAACCGGAAAGCCCAAAAATAAAGCAATTTTAAAATAAAAGGATTATTTAATAATTTATTAAAAAGATTAAATTAAACCCTAAATAAAAACAATAAAAGAAAAGGGTACTTTTAAATAAATTAATATTTATTAAATTTATTAAAGTAGCTTTAAAGATAGCTATAATAATATTAAAAAAGATTTAAAAAACCTTTAATAATAAATATATTTCCTTTTTATAAAATAAAAACCTTAAATATATTAAACTAATTTATTACTTAATCCTTAAGTAATTAATTTATTTAAAAGGGTTTTTTTTAAAAGTAAAAGTTAATAAATTATCCTTATTATAACTAGGATATAATATAATTCTTAAAACTATTATTAATAACCTTTTAAATAGCTCCCCTTAATATTAAATTTTAATTTAATACCTATTATTAAAAAAAGAAGTAATAGATAAATTATTAACCTATAGCTTTATTAAACCTTATATAAAAGTAAATATTTCCCTTATTCTTTTTACCCTTAAACTAAATTTAGCTAAAAGATAGTTTTATATTAATTATTAATAAAGAAATAAATATTTAAAAGATTATATTATTTTAACATTAAATTTAAATAATATTATATATAATAATTAAAAGGTTAAACATTATATTAAGTTTAATATTATTAAAGCCTTTTATAAATTAAGGATAGCTTTAAAATTTTAATATTTAATAATATTTTAAATTTAATAAAAAGTATTTTAATAATTAATCCTACCCTTTAAATTAAAAATTAACCTTATTTAATAGTAAAACTTTATTAATTCTTAATTATATAAATTATTTAACCTTTTTATTAATACTTATATTAATAATATTTTAATATTTATGAATAATAAAAAAGAATATTAAGAATAATATAAAGAAGTAATATATTACTTGTGACGGAGCGGCATGGCGCTTTTACTAGCGGCACAGCGCTTTCGCCAGTGGCGCAGCGCTTTCGCTAATGGCGTAGCACTTCTGGCTAGTAGCATAGTACGCCCCTAACAAGGGCGCACTACGCCCCGGTAAAAGCACACCTATAAAAGCGCTTTTAACAAGAGCATTATATTCCAAGGATTAGCCGGAATGCCTATATAGTTAGAATTTTTTATATACTTTATTATAGGATTAATAATAAAATAATACTTTTAACTTAACTTTAAAAACGTTACTTAAAAATGCTAGTTTAATTTTATTAATTATAAATATCCGTTAAAATTATAAACCTGGTTTATTTATAAATTAGGTTTTTAATTAGGATTAATATTCTTTTACTATTAATTATATAAAGCGTACTTTTTTTTTTTACCTTTTAATTATTTAATATTTATAAGTATACTTTATAAATATATAATGTTTAAATTAAACTTAACGGAATTTATTATCCTAAATAATACTATATTATATTTAATTAAAGATTGGATTAATTAGTTTACTTATTTTTAAATATATATAAAGGTATATAACATTTAAAGAATAGTAAACCTAAATTCTTTATAAACGTTTAAAGAGGTTAATACTTTTTTAAACCCTTAAATACCTTTAACTTTTATAAAGAAGTTTATAAAGGAAAATATTATAACTTAAAAAAAAGTAGCTTATATTAAAGCTATAATTAAATAGGGATTAAAGCATAACAATCTTAACAAACTAATATTAATCCTAAATTAAAATATTAATAATAAAAAGCTTAAGGAATAATATAATAATATTATAATAATATAACTATTAAAAATAGTTAAATAAAATGCTTTTATAATTAAATATAATATATTTTTTAATTAAATTAATTATATAATTAATAAAAACTACTTTAAAATTGCTTATATAATAATTATTAATAATAATAAACTATAGATTTAAAACCTTATTAAAGCGCTTTAAAATACTATTATTTTATTAAAGTTTAATATTTTAATAATAATCTAATAGGATTATTATACTATGCTTAAAAGGGCAAACGTTAGAAATATTAATATAATAAAATAGTATTAAAAATAGGACCTAATATATTAATATATTAAAGTAAGGGATATTTTAAATATTAAAGAAGTTTTAATAATAAAAAACTTCCTAAAAGTACTTTTATAATATATAATACCTTTATAAA